AACTACAATTCATAATAGTGTATTGTATACTTGAATGTTGCTAATAAAAGCAGATCTTAAATGTCCTCACAATAGAAAATTATAGGAATGAGGGGTAATGTGCTTGTTAATTAGCTTTATTTAACCATTTCACAATGGATACACATATCAAAGCATCATGTTGTCTACTGTAAATATATACAATTTTTTTTGTCAAGTGCTCTTTAATGAAAAAATATATTTAATAGATAGATGTTGGTAGATAATCCCATGAATTAAAGTAAATTGCAATATTTTGTGTGATGTTAAAGGGAGTAAAGCAGAAGCAATTGTACTGGAGCTCACCAAGAGAGACCCGCCTCAAGACTGACCTTTGTAACTTGTTCCTTCCGACCACAGCTTCATTCCATTAATGCTACTCAGCAACCATGTCTGGAAAACTTACTGCTAGTCCCTGAGTTTTGTCAGGGCTAAGATGAGGAAATTTACAAACACACATATAAACACATCTAAGCCCTGCTTAATGCCATGGAGCTTACTGAGTTATACACTCTGAGAACAGAGATCTGGTCTCAAATGAGAGTTACAACACTTCAATTCGTGTCTGATCCTACATCCCGGTTTTTCTCCCTGTCTTAGTAGGAATGTACCTTATACCTATTATTTGAGCTAAAATAATACATAAAGAACATTCCTTGAATAATCTAATGTATCATAACATTTACATTAATGTCCAAATATATATTATAATTACAATTAGGTCTGCTCCCCAAAATTTTCCCTTATCACCCAAAAAAATCACCACTCCCTCCATTTCTTCATAGTCTTTCAGGTCATTTATTTCTTCAGAGCACTTATTGCTACTGTTGCCATTTCATAGACTGTGTGTTTATCTGCTGATTGAATCCCCTATAAATGTCAACTTTGTTAGGATAAGGATTTGTCGGTCTTGTTCACTGCTGTGTCTCCAGCACCTAAGCCATTTCTGGAGTATAGTAGAAGCTTGATTTTAAAAAAAGTTGAATGAATTAATGGAAAAGGTACAGATGGATGCACAATGAATGAAGGGAGTTGTTAAAAAAGAAACACACACACACTTTGATAAATGATTTTTATTTTTTAGTAGATGTTCTTTTTATAATACAGGATATTAATTCTATATGAGAAAGTTCAGAGGAGATATTCTGCTGAAGGGTTAGAGTAGCTTAAGGCGAGTCTAAAGAGATGTTTATGTGTTTCCAAGTGAAAGGGGCATGAGGGGATTCCAGGAAGAAAGGCGTTTTCATAGACACCAGAGCAAATGCAGCTGCAAATTAGTAAGTATGGTTGAAACAATTCAAGCAATTTAATGTATTGCATGATGAGGTCTGACAAAACCTGGTAACAGATGAGTTTAGAGAAGTAACTAAGGACCAAATTGCAAAGGACCCTTGGTGTCCTGGAATGCCTTTTGTGCTGCTCTGAGGAGCCTGGATCACATCCTGAAAGCAATGGTGCATCACTGAACAGTTTTAAACAGAGAAATAATATGGGACCAGGTATATATGTCAGAAAACTTTCTGTAATAATACACTTGATTATTAAGTTAGGCAAAACATGAGAATTTTCAGAAATCTAAGTGAAAATTCAGGAAGTCTTGAGATACAGACTTGACAGTGAGGCTAGAGAGGGGCTTATTTGAAATGCAATCCGTAGGGTAAGGTTACTACTAAGGCTCTTGAATATTTTTAGAACATACTTTTTAAAAAATAGAACATCAGGTGCATTGGAATGGGACAAGACACAAATATAGATGATTCTCTTTGGGCCAATCAAAATTTTAAAGCTACTAGTAGAAGTGACATTTTAGAGCTCTCAAAGTGAGATTAGGATGAATGCATGAGACCTCACTTATTTATGTTGCTTACATTTCTATTTTTTTTCATGTGTTGTAGTGCAATTTTTTATATCTTATCTGGAAACAAAATCTATTGAATATATGAGTAAAAACTAAATATAATTTGCTAGATATTTTTAATGCATTTCGATTCATTTCATGTATTTACAAGTCTGTTTTATAACATTGTCATATATATGTGTGTGTGTGTATATATGTGTGTATATATGTATGTATACTTCTGGTAGTAAAATTACTTTGCAGTTCCCTTTAAATAAAATGAGAACTTCCTTTTACTTGTGAGTAAATGTTAAGTATTTATGATGGTTGCAAAATCCAACCAAAGAAAAGTCTAAGGCTATCATTATGATAAAATTACAACTATAGAAAAACCGGAATCCAAACTTAAAAGATCACAAGGGAAAAAAAAAACTCATAGTCTTTTTGAAAACCAACCTTTTAAACTCTTCAGAATTTCAAAAAACATAGCTATTACGAGTTGGAGAACTTTTAACTGAGAAATCAACATTCTTCTTGCTCATTTAGTGGTCTATTATTCATCTGTATTTTTTGTACTTATTAGGGCATGATAATTCCTCACAAACCTCAAAGCCTGAGTACATTATAGCTCTCCTTCCCCATAAAGGCACCAGTTAGCCCTAATTTTTAAATGGAGGTCTTGAGAACAAAAAGGAACTTTCCTTATTTTTCCATTTTTTTTTTTTTTTCCCCACGATAAGGGATTACAGTTAAGGTTCTAATGCATCAGTCTTGGGAAAGAAAGAATTGATATGCATTATTTCTTTAATCCACTCATGGAGGACTTTATCCAAAAGGAGATAAAATCAGGATCACTGTTGTTAGTGAGACAGTTGAGAGAATTCCTGTTTTAAATTCAACCTGCTGTTGACATTCCCCATGGGTACCTTCTTAAAAATTTCATTGAAGTGAACCCTTAGCCATTTCTCTTGATGGAATACCAGTTGGACAACTCTGAAGGGAAAAGAAACTTAGGCGGGTAAGAAGTGTTATAAAGCCAACTCTCAAGCAAGTTTCATGGAAGAAGTGTCTCATACTATCTTAATGAAAGCAGCATCTGCATTCCTTGCTTACGGATGAAGAAATAGAGGGCTGGAGAGCTTAAATTAGTTAGAATATGGAAAACATAATATTTATTATCATATATAGATAGATAGATATGCTGTGAAAAGCAGACTACTTTCTATTCTGCCTCCCTAGAAAAGAGTACTTTTCTGCTTTTCAATTATTTGTGATTTCAGTAACTTAATCAGAGTATCACACTAAGTCGGTGTTTTTAAAAATATGCAACACTGGGCACTGGTATAAGAATCACCCGTGGATGCACTTTAAAAATGCAAAATCCTGTGTTGCCCAATTCATTAGGTCTGTATATCTGGGGCATGTCTGGTAACCTGGTTGTAGAAATACACCCTAACATGCTGGTTTTATATTTACAATTTTGAAAAACACTACCCTAAATAGGGTGGGGATGGAGAGAGGAGGAGAAAGCTGATAAAAGTTTTGCCAGATTTTCTTGCCTCGACACCTCACTAGGACTGCCTAGTGAGTGAAGGAGCAGGTGGGAATCTTCTGTTCTCCAGCTCTGCCCTGAAAAGGTGAAGTCTTCTCTCTGAAAAGAGGGGTTTGTCCCTCAACAGGATATATTCCTTTCCCAGATGCTTCCACAACAAAGTGTCACTATGTGCTTAACTTGGTCTTTGTCACCCAACATTAACTACAAAGGGAACTGCTGTTTTAAAAATCATAGTTTTGCTTTTTAGGCATGAGAATAACATAGGACTTGGATAGAGAGAAATCAAAGGCTTTTAAAGATGCAGACAGACTGTCAGCTGAGATCTTTTCTCTAAGTAGTATAGAGATAAAGCTCATTTAATTCCATCACATTCTTTCAAAAAGAGAATTTATGGCACATTATCTACCCTCTACTTGAGAATAGGTTTCCAAGGCTTGATAGTGACTTTTGTAAACAGGGAAGAGAAAATTCATTTTCAATTCATCTACATTATAGTTTTATCGAGAAAAAAGTAGGTTTTAAGTTTACACCAACAAATAAACTGAGGCTGCTATCACACTCTAAGGAATTTACCTTAATGTAGAAAACTCATGAAAATCAAAAATACACATTGTACCTAATGTAATATCCATCACACACATCTGCCAGTCAACTCAGTCTCAATGATGATCCTTTGATGAAAGGCCACTGTACCATAAGATAGAGTTCACTAAAAGTGGTGTGTTAAAACAATTTATGCTAAGCTTAGAGATACAATTCCTTTATATTAGACACATATTTGACTACATATGCACTGGTATGGGATGAATAGACCTTTGTCTGCATAACATTTGGCTCCAAACATAGGCTTTATTGTTAGCTAGGTAAAACAGAAGTTATTTTTGTAAATTATATGCATAGTATTTATCATTGTATAGAATTGTATATACTCATAGAAAACTGAAAGCTGTTATTACTGGATTATAAACTCAAAACCTATGATCCAGACACACTGGCTTCAAGCCAAAATGATTTTTTAAATATCATTTTCAGAAAATTTTATGTTAATTCAACATCTTTAATCCTGTGAGTTATCCACCATTTCTCGACAACCAAGGAGTGAGTGCTGAGATCACATAGCAGCTTCTTATCTAATAGAATACCATTGTATATGAATCAGTAAAAACACCAGGAATGGGAATAATGACAAATATCTAAGTAAGTTGTGAAATCTCACTACCTATTATAGGTATTTTTAAGAACTCTTTGTAAGCGGATGCTAGAAGTAGACAAATTATTTAGTGTAAAATCCTATGTTCACATCAGTAAAATATTGCAGGCTAGAGATATCTTTTGATTTCTAATCTACTGTTTTATGTATTTTATATACAAAATATATAAATTTCACAATAAATCAAACACAGTGATGCCATTTGCTATGTTTTATTTTGCTAGTAGCTTATTAAACATAACATGCAAATAACCAAAGAGAAACATACATGACTTAGAGTGAAAAATAATTCTAGAAAAGTTTCACTAGGTAAGTATGCAAATTCGTAATACTAAAAATACTTCTTTAAGTGCATGAGGCTTCATGTATTTTGCAAAATTCTTGGCCTCAAAATCTACCACCTATTTTTTAACCAGACAAATTTGAATGTATCAAGATAATTTGGTTCAAGACAGTAAACATCCAGATGTATTTAATCCAGGCTTTGGGGCACATTAAGATTTAAGGATTATAAAACTTGGCTGATTTCCATGCCACCAGTAAAAGGCTTTGCACATCATTTGACAGTAGAAATAAAAAAACACTGAATTTACAAATAAAGCATTGAGTTTTATGTCTATTCGTGTATATGTGTGTGTTCTTGTGATGAAATAGGCCTGCATTTCATCTTTTCTTTAAAAAAAAATAAATGTTTACAAAACATTTCTATCAGATTTTAAAATTCATGGAAGTAATAAACAGTAATAAAATATGGATACTATGAAAACTGACACACAGGAAAACATAACCATAAAATATTGTTCCAGGATACAGATATTAATTAAGAGTGATTTCATTTGCAACACGTAGACATTCATACATATCCGGTGGAAGGCTAGTTTCTGAGATGCGATTACCATCCAAACGCAAATGCTTGATCTTGGAGTAGGATAATGGCCCCAGGATCTTGCAGAAGCTCTTTACGTCAAACTCTAAAATTTAAAGAACAGAAAACATTAATCACTTTTTGGTACACTGGCTCAAAACAATAAAAAAATTTATGTTTAAAATAGTATAAAATAGGACCTCTTCCCTTTTAGAAAAGTCATAATATAGTATATATTTAAATTTGAAACCATTAAAGGCATATTTCAGGCTACCAAAATGGCACAGCAACATTTAGTAAAGAGTAATCATGGTAGATCAAGATATTCAGTATAATATTTTAAAGAACAGAACTTATTTATTATTAGAAGTTGTTTTTGAAAAGGCATTCAGTAAGCGTGTCATATTATCTAACAACTTTTTTAAAATAGTCTAACCTGAAGAAATATAAATGGATCCTGTTGCTGTATGAACAGTCTCAATGTAAGTACTCTTTGGTTTTGCATCTAAAAATAAGAGGGGTTAACTAGATGATCTATAAAGAATTTTCTAGCAACCACACACCATGACCATGATAAACTTCCAAGGCAAAAACCAAATCATTCCAGCAATCACACACCATAACAATGATCAAAATTCTAAGGCAAAAACCTAATCATGGCATGTCCACCATCTGAACCCATGTTTTTTGTTTGTTTATTTGTTTATTTTTGTCCATGGTCAAAAAGCTGCCACAAGTGAAACACTGATTTACTTTGTAATAGAAACCAAGAGTGTTACTGAATTGGCTGACCTGTGTATACACAGAAACTATGTTTGCCTATATCTATTTTAGATTAACATTTTCAAGTCCTTTATCTTGTTTTCGTTTTCAAACTCTAGTTAACAAAGACTTCAGCGGAACCCCAAACACACATGCTTTTTAAAATAACTCATCAGTCAATTCCAGGGATTTTTCTATGGTACCAACATGTGAGAAAGTGAGGAAAAATGGAAAGAAGATGCGAATAATCTCATCTTGGAATTCTACCTCTGCCACTTACCCACGTGGGCAACACTGGAACACTTATCTGATCTCCTTGTTAGAAATACATCTATCTTACCGTGTTGCATGAAGATTAGATTAAGGTGTGTAGAGCACTTCACACAATACTAGTACATAGTATGTCCTAAATAATGACTAATATCCTTTTAATTTTGCTGTCTTTCCAAATTACTCTACATTAGGAAGATCTCTGATTAGGCTAATGCTTAGAGTTGCAAATTTGAAATAGAAAACAGTTTATTTTCGCTATCTATTCCCTAATATTAGAAAAAAATTAAGGGGAACTTTCTGTATTAAGTAAATGTGAAATGTTGATATAGATGATTTTTATCTGGCAAAATAACCTAAACTGAGGTGATGAATGAAACTGAGGTGATGCAATAGAATACCAAACCAAATGTAGAAAGATAAGGAAGAAAGAAAGGAAACTATTATGTTACCTTTTCAAATGACCACTATGTACTGGGCACTGTGGTTTCTATCTCAGCTTGGCACTGACAGGCTATTGACCTTTCTCCCATAGATCTCTCTTCCCATCTTCCACACCAGCTCTTCCATCCTTTACTAATACAATGTCTACCTTCAAATGTGCCTGTATCTGTATGCTTCTTTGTTTCAGAGAAAGTAGCAGCCCTGCTCTTGCAAATAATTTCTACCCACCAAATCTAATGTATTCCATCATCCCTCAAACATCATAAATTCCTTTAGCATTTTGGTCTGTCAGAGAGTATCCTTGCTCCTGACCGCACATGTTTTAAATGAGGAATCTTATATTGCCACATAGTGAATTTTCCACTGGAAACAACAAGAGTGGTTTAGCTGTGTTAGCCTGACTGTGTATTGTGTGACGGTCAAACAGCACCAACCCTTACCTTGGCTGCTTTTCAGAAAAAACAAAGAGCATGTGGAGCTTCAGGGTTGGCAAGCATGGTCTTCTTTATGAGAATGTTTAACCCTACTAGGGGTTATATGAAACTGGCAGAATTAACAAATGTCATATGTATAAAATATATTGTAATATTTTCTGACAGCAATACCTTTATTCAGTATGGCCAGAAAACCAATTTTCATCATGTAGAGATGTTCAAATTCAATAGGCTCGTTTGCAGACATTATTACTTTATATGTGAATCAGTGTTTCCTGCTTGATTTTTCATTTAGAAAGTCTTATCTGTGAATCATGGTCTTTCTCTTCTGCCAAGCTCTGCCAAAGATTAATGGCAGAGTTACCCTGGTGGGAAATGGTGGATTTCAATTTCCCATTGGAATCTATACTGCTTAAGTTGAGGAATGTCCCTGAAGACCAGATAAATGCATAAACAATCCAAAAGCATCAGATCAAACTTCATCCAGAAGATAAATGAAAAATAAAGAGAGGGGAAAGAGAAAGTTTGGAAATATCAAATGAGTTGCAGGATTGTACCTAAGAAAAAAAAAGCTCTGTAATACAATTTTTTTTTCCTAAGGAAAAAAAAAAAAAAAAGATGTTAGACTCTCCCATCATATTTCTTTTTCTCTTTTTCTCTTTAATCTTCTTCACAGTCTCCCAGAGCACTGTGATGGCCACACACCACAACAGAGATAACAGAGGCAGATGATGATCATGACAGCAGAGTAACATGTTGAGTCTCAACTAGTTGATGTCAGGAAAGACCATGAGACAATATGGGACCAGGCACAATGGCTCACACCTGTAATCCCAGTACTTTGGGAGGCCAAGGCGGATGGATCAATTAAAGTCGGGAGGTCGAGAAAGCCTGGTTAACATGATGAAACCGCCATCTCTACTAAAAACACAAAAATTAGCCTGGTGGTGGTGGTGGCCTGAGGCGGGAGAATCGCCTGAGCCTGGGAGGTGGAGGTTGCGATGAGCCGAGATTGCACCACCGCATTCCAGTCTGGGCGACAGAGTAAGACCCTGTCACAAAAAGAAGGAAGGAAAGAAGGAAGGAAGGAAGGAAGGAAGGAAGGAAGGAAGGAAGGAAGGAAGGAAGGAAGGAAGGAAGGAAGGGAGGGAGGGAGGGAGGGAGGGAGGGAGGGAGGGAGGAAGGAAGAAAGAAAGGAAGAAAGGAAGGAAGGAAGGAAGAAAGGGACTATATGGGCTTTTTTTTTTTTTTTTGAGACGGAGTCTCGCTCTGTCTATATGGGCTTCTTTGTGGCTGTGGAGTTTACCAACTGTGCCACTTTTGAACTCATTTCTTCCTCCCTCATTTCGATCTTGTCAAAAAATAACTGTAGGACACAAATCTAAGCCATAAAGGAGAAAAATAATAAGAGATAGATATGAGGAGGTAACACAGTAGGATAAATTGGTCTGCAATTTTTAATTTGAAGACTTATATATTGAATTCTGTGACCTCAATTGTTCCTTATCTGGATACACCAAAGAAAGGCTGGATATTGGATATATGATTGAGCTAGAATGATTCTTTGTTTGAAGTAGAGGGACATTTTGTTGCCTTTTTTTTTTTTTTTTTTCTTTCCCCAAGACAGCCTTGCTCTGTCGTCCAGGCTGGAGTGCAGTAGCACGATCTCTGCTCATTGCAACCTCCATCTCCCGGGTTCAAGCAATTCTCCTGGCTCAGCCTCCCAAGTAGCTGGGATTACAGGAGTGCGCCACCAGACCTGGCTAATTTTTGTATTTTTAGTAGAGATGGGGTTTCATCATGTTGGCCAGGCTGGTCTCAACTCCTGACCTGGTGATCGGCCCACTTCGGCCTCCCGAAATGCTGGGATTACAAGCGAGACCCCCCGCACCCGGCCGACATTTTATTTTTTTAATGGAGCCAGATGCAATATTTGTGTTGCGCAGCTCAGGTATTTAAACACTTGAGGAAACATCAAACACAGGAACAGCTGTTTACTTACTCTCAAGTTGATTGACCTCCAGGTAATAGTTTTCAAGGTTTTCATTGACGGTTGGTATGTTTTTAAGCTTGTTATAGGACAGATCCAGCTCAACCAGGGATGACACATTGAAAGAATTTCCAGGTATTCCACTATCAGCCAGTTCATTGTGAGACAAACGCAGATACTGCAATGCATTAAAACGCTTGAAATACTCATCAGGGATGTTGCTGATCTTATTGTTGTCTAAGTAGAGAGTTAGAAGAGAGACAGGGAGACCAGAAGGCAGTTTGGCTATCTGATTGAAGCTCAAGTCAAGGTATTCGAGTGATTTAAGACCTCTTAAAGCAGCTGATACAGCATCCTCTTTCAGCCGATTGTGTTGGAGATGGATGAAGGTCAGGTTTACCAGTCCTTCAAAAGAGCCCAGCTTTGTGATCTTGTTATGAGTAAGCTGCAGATCCTCCAGAGATTTGGGAAGTGGGCCCACAGACTCTGTCAGGTTGTTGTAGTTTATATGCAGCTTCTTCAGTTGTTTCAACTTAGAGAAAACTCTCCCTTTTATCTTGGAGTTTTCTAGAAGGTTGTGATCTAGAATGAGCCACTGCAGATCAGTTACATTCTCAAAGGCCTTTTCATCAATATGGTCAATCTGGTTATTCCTAAGGTAAAGATACTTGATTCCAGGAGGCACCATTGGTACACTTTTCAATTTCAGCTCATCACAGTACATGGCACTTGGGTAGCTTTCAGGGCAGTTACATTCTGGTGCACAGTTTGGTGATGATTGCCCATAAATTGATAGGGGAAAATCATAATCATAGTACTGGCCACTGGTACCACCAATCAATGCCAGGAAGAGAGTAAATGCACTTAGACTCATTTTTGGCAAATGGTTTGAATCCTAAATAAAGTTGAAACATTTATTAATAAAAAATATATACTTTCAAGAAAAGGATATTCAACTTACAACATTAAATGCATTATAAAATGTGCATTTTGTTATTCTTATAGCTATTTTTAGTGCATCTAACGGCGTCTCTTCAATTTTTATTTAGGTATGAGGACAAAGGTGTATGTTTACAACTGTGTGGTGAGCAGGTTTCAGGTTAGATTGCGTACACGTGCGCCCCCTTCTGGGAGAGCCAGGCCTAATTGTTCCAGTCAATCTCTTTAGGCTCTTCCTTAATGAAATGCCTGCCTGTAAGAGGTTTCTGGGTGGTGTTCATTGACCACCGAATTAGACTACTGCTTCAGATCATCTCTCAGAAAACGAGAATGAGAAGACAGTTGTTAACTGTATACTCTACTCTACCATTCGACATCATTAAAATGACTCATGAAGAAGATCCTTACGGGAATATGGGCAACCTGAGGTTTTGCTTGTATGTGGGAGGGAAATGGAAGGCACATTCCTTTAAAAGTATCCGGTTATTGTTGGTTCTGAGGAAGGAGAACAGAATTCTTGTTGCTGGTGTGCGTGCATACTAGTGCACGTTGTGCTTGACATTCCACACTTTTTAAAGCACACTGCAAAACTGTGTTCTGAAACTAATATTTCATAAATTAGCTATTTACTAAATTAAATATTAGTAATATTTAAGAATTACTAATATTTATCAGGAAAATGTCACATATTCTAAGGGTTTCTCTATCTGGAAAGAGATTCAACAGGTAGAGAAAGATAGTATTTTCCAAGTTTTCAATTAGAATTATAGTCTCTCTCAATTACTCACAAGTTCTCTACTTTCTTCATGCCAGAATCAAAGATGCCATGATTTGCATGTATCTGGCTTTTAGTGACCTCACAGAATGGAGGTGGGAGAGAGGTGGGACGTTTTTAAAGTTTGGATTTAATACTGGTATTAGAACTATCTAGTAAATTATTCCATTGAGAATATGAATTTAAAATAATGTGTAACAGTTATCTTCTCATAGGAACATGTTTCTAAGGTGAGGTTCAAAAAAGTCCATTTCAGTGTCTTAAGGAGGTGCGGCAATTTAGATATGGGAAAATTAGAATATAAGAGTTAGACTTTTATAGAGTGAAGAGTTGTGGCTGAGTTGGTAGCCCTGGGAGATAAATCATTAATGTGAAGAAAGATCTACATTCTAATAGATAACTGAGAATATTGTATCTTCCTATGAAAGTATGATTACAAGCTTTTGGATCAAGGTAGTTTGGGATAAGCAGGATCTCTGGGGTAAGAAACTGAAAACGTCTTTTATTTGTTTTAATTTGAAATTATAAGGCATTTTATTTCAGATCAGATGGAACGTTATAAAACAGTTGTCAGAAATACTTCGATTGCTGACATAATGTAACATGTAGCCAGATTCTCAGTAAATTACTCTCTAAGATTATAATGGGGGGCATTTAATATTGTTGACAGAACTTGCCATAATAATAATTGCATAGCACTAAAAAGAACATGATGACATATTCCCAGAGTTATTTATAAGTTACAGAATGCAAATACTGTAAAGATTTGTCTTGCTTTATTAATAAGCTATTTTAAATTTAGTATATACCAAAATATTTATGGTAACTATAAGGTGAGTATTAAAAAGTAATGAAAAATGCTTCCACATTTTTTGGCAAAGTAAAAACAAGGATGCTGAACTGAAAGAGAGTTTGTGACCATATAATGACTCCACTATGAGACAAAATCACACTCTACTTCCCTCAGTTTTCTCAAATACCTGTGGCTATAGAGAAAATGCTGTTTCCAAAAACTAAATCATTTCCCAGAATTTCTTTAAAAATTCATTCCTTAAGGCATATATCCAAGAAACAATTTTTTAAATTAACAAAACAGAAATAAATAATCCATAAGAGTCTCTAAATCTTTTAGCTCATGTTTTATAACATAGAATGTGTATTGTAAATTATAACAAATTGCCACAATATACTTATTAAAAGATATTTTGAATGCTGATTAAAATGACCTTTCCTTGCTCCAGTATTAGAGTCCAATACTAACATATATAACTAGTTAGCATACATAACAAACATTTTAATTTCTATATTTTTTCACTGTGTCTACTTTAACTATTTTCTCATTCTAACCTTGAAACTTTTTATAACTTCCCTTGCCAAGCAATATAGCATATACTGTATAAAATCTCAAATCTATAAATCATGGAAAACATATTAAACAAAATGTGAAACTAACTGCTCAAAACTGTGGATTTGATGTGGAATAGCAATTGGCAAAATTGCTCTGGAATTTTTCCTGTTCCTGTTACAAAAAACACTGTCCCAAACAGTTACCATCCCCAGTGCGATAGTTAAAACAGCACTTACCTTACTGTCTTGACACTGCTTTCGTTAATTCTTAAAGCAGATGCACTATGGACAAGAATCCACCAATATATGCTGTAAACTCTGTCAGGACGGAACTGGCTGCCAGATTCTGAGTGATACAAGAGCTGAAGGGGGGTGGGGAGACCCAGCCCAGTCACGCCAGTCTCTGAATGGAGTTATGTCATTGTGGGGATCTTGTGGTGTGGCATGTGAACACTGCTCTCTAACGAAGTGCAGGTGAATGTGGGGAGGAAGGACAGCCCAGTTCATTCCCTATGGAATGGGAGAGAGATACGTGTTTAACTAGCTCAAATACCATAGCTTTTAACCAAGGATTGAGTCCTGCTTCAAATAAGGAAGCTCACTGTGAGAACATTTTTCTTACAAACCTCTTTACATCTGTGGCTGTGGCAACAATTAAGTGCAATGCACTCAGCCAACTATCATGTTTATCTAAAGATCTCATAAATCATAAGCAGGGCAAATAATTTCAGGAAAACACAAATGAACAGACTCAGAGGAATTGAATCCCTTTGCCTATCACTTTTGAAATCAATATAGATTTACTTGGACTAACTTAATTTTTTGGTCATGAGGGTAACTTACATTAGTTTTGAAAATGTGAAATATGCTTCATATACTCTTGGATACACATGATAAATATCAGCATTTCGAGTTTACTTCTAATGCTAAGGAGACTCATTTTATGTTACTCAGGTCTGGAACCAATCAGCAAAGTCTTGTCTGTTTCTTATTTTGTGGATTTTTTTTAGGAATTCACCCAAAACCTTACTTGGGGATAGCATTCTATAGCTTAATGCCAAAAAACATAAAATAACAGAGAAAAAAATAAATTTATACTAAAAGTATCACAAGGCAATAATCTTTCATTCTCTCATTGCATGCTATAATTTTTTTTTCAAAGTTAAAAGTTATTCAAAGTTATAATCTCCCAAAGACCTGGCTGGATATATCTTTCATTATCAGCTCCTGATGCATGGTTTCAGCAAATGAGAGATGTACTTAAATCCTTGTCTATTTCATTTTGTGATTTTATCAGTTATATTTATGTGATTTTTTTCTAAAATGTTTCATTTCCTCATATTTATAAGAACTTTTACAACAAGATATTTTAGTATAAATTGTCACATTGTATTTTTGTCTTTAAAAATAACTATATTACATTTTAGCAGTGAGACTTGTGGAAGATTAACTCCATGACTAATACTGCATTTGCCTGACAAAAGACTATTAGAATAAATGCCTTATTTTTGTAATAGAACTGTTCAAAAACAAAAAGTAATCTTCTTGAAAGTAACTAATGGAATTGTAAGATGATTCATAAGCATACAATTTTTACTAATATTATTTTAAGAAAATTATTGATAGGCATCAGTTTCAACAAAGTAACTGAACAAATTTATAAGGAATTAAGAAAAAAAGACCAATCAAATATAATTAAGTGATCTTGTTATAAGAGTATTCTTAAAACAATGCTAAGTATTAATTTTGAGTGTATCAAATTCTATAATCTGAGCTCTTGTTACAACAATTCCACCTATCCATTCCTTAAGTTTTTTCTGTATAAAGCGACACATGTGTTGTGGTATTTGTAACAGAACTCAAATGCATTACATTGGATTTAGCTCATTGTAAAGTCTTGTCAACATATACTTTTTAATAAAATCAGTTCTGTGAAACCAGTAATTGAATAATTTTGTGCGTTTCAGAGCATATTTTCAGGGTCCATTAGAAAGAAATGAAATGAACATTTATAGTGGATCTAGTATATTCCATGATTTATACTCAGAGTTTTCACATTTCTTACTTTAAATTTCATACATTAAAATTCCTATGGTATGATTTACTACTCTATTTTCAGGAGTATAAATGGAGAGTCAGAAAGTCGAATTCATTTGCTAAAAGTCACCTAACATGTAAATCTAAGAATAAAACCATGAACTTCTTCATTCATTGGGAAGAGGGTGAACAGGAGGGAACTGAGACAATGTAGTTCACTCAATCAACTTAAAACACTTTATAGACAATGTTATTATCAGTTGAGAAAAAGCAGAAATATTAAATGGGCAATAGTTGTTTAAAAAGCCAAATGTTAATTAAGCAATAATTTCTTTCCTTTTACCTTACACACTAACACACACATGCCTAGTCACATCCACACCTCAGAACTTTTGGGTAAGGTATAAACATTCCATCCTGACAAATGGTGATTCACATCATTGGTGGTAACATGCATTGAAGGCTGAATGTGTTTCATCATAATACAGGTTAAAATGATGGGAGTTCTCATTGTTCACCTCCCACTTATGAGCGAGAACGTGGGGAAGAGTACACACTGGGGCCTGTCGGGGGTTGGTGGGCAAGAGGAGGGAGAGCATTAGGAAAGATATTTAATGCATGCGGGGCTTAAAACCCAGATTGACGGGTCAATAGGGGCAGCAAACCACAATGGCAAATGTATAACTATGCAACAAACCTGCACATTCTGCACATATATCCCGGAACCTAAAGTAAAATTAAAAAGAAAAAAATGATGGAGTTGCCCTCTTCAGCCCAGGGACTGGATTTCCTGTTACCTGAGACTAGCAAGGATGATAAAGTATGTTATGACTATTTCACCCACCGTGTTCTGAACCCAGCCCTGGACTTACAGGGGAAAATAATAAATTAAGTATTCCCTCCCAGAGATAACTATCTTTTGGTATATCTTCTTAATGTGTGTGTATAAACACAAACACACAGACAATTTGGTTTTCACATATATCATAACATTATGCTTGTAGTGCCAGACCCATTTTCATATAACAGTAAATCACTGATGTTTTTCTATATCATTAAATGTCATTCTCTACTGTCATTTTTATTTGCTACATGAAATTCTGTTATATGGATATACCATAATGTAGTTGTTAGTTTTTAATATTGAACAGTTGATTTCTCTTAAAATTTGCAAAGCACTATCACATAAAATGGAATTTTAATCTTTAAATTGGTTGTACCTGCTTTGTCTACTCTGCTTATCTCAAAAGATACATTTTAAATGACAACATATTTTGAGTAAATGGTTTATGCTTTCAAATCATACAATAGAGTGCTTTTGAATGTTTTATCTTCTCATAACAATCTAATTCCCATTCTTAATTTTAGCACCCTACAAGTCATGAAACTATCTTTTATTTACATAGTCATTATACTCATAGCTGTATGTATTTTTAAACTTACTCTACAATTGCTTTTATTTTTCTTAGTATCTTACATGACAAGTACATTTTTGGAATTATCAATGATATGATTTATTATATGTTTTCATTAATAAGTGTGCATTATAAGAGTAATATGTATACATTGGAACACTATACCAAAACATTAACCAGCATAGCAGTATATAAGGCTAAATGTGAAATAACCCCTAGCTTAACTAACTCTCCAATTTCACTTTCTGTAAGTAATTGTTGTTTAGACTTTATTAATTCAGATGTTTCAGACATGTCTTTTATACACAATAGAATTTTATTCCTTTTTCCTCTTTTGTGGCAGCATATGAGATAACTCAGACAGTTCAGAACTCAGATAACTTCTTCACTTAGGTAAGTGCACAATCATAAATTTGCTTTTGGGAGAAATCACTCTTTTCTCATGATAAGCAACGCTGTATTGAGCTAGTTTTGTGCAAGATAGCTTAAGGAAAATCTCAAAAGTAACTGGGCTTTCTGGAGAACACAAATTTGTACACATATTTAAAAATTTTGTAATTATTACCTAATTACCTCCAAAATGTTGTTCTGCTTATCACTTCCATAAATGGTAGATGAGAATACAGTTTCGCCAGTCATTCATGAAGTTTGAATATGATCAAGCTAAAATACCTATGATCCAGTTGTTAAAGTTTTATTTCCTAAATAATATCTGGTAGTGCCAGTCTCCCTTCTTTATTCCTTAAATGTAGGCTTATCAAACCTTAAAGCACCTGACATGGCTAAACTCCCTGATGCCATTTTCTTTCCTTCTTCTGTGTTACATTCTTGCCATTTTGACCTTCACTCAGGACCTGATATAGGAGAAGTCTGTTCCTACTCCAGGTCCTTTACCAGCTGTTCTCTTTGACTGAAATGCTCTTCCCCCAGACTAGCGGTTGTCAAACATTTTGCTGACAGGACTCTATATACTTAAAGTTTGTTGATGTTTTGAGGACCCCAAAGATGTATGTGGAGTCCATCTACCAGTATGTGTCACATTCAAAATTAAAACTGAGAAATATTTTAAAGTGAGTAATTTATTAGGATAAAAAATAACAAGTCCATGCCATGTTAATGTAAATAACATTTTAATGAAAATACTAACGTGGTCCAGGAAAAAAAATGAGAAAAATTGTATTGCCTTATATATTTGCACACCTGTTTCAAGTATGTCTGCATGGAAGTTAGCTGGATTTTCATATCTGCTCCCTTGTTCAATCTGTTGAGATATGTTGCTTTGATTGATGTATATAATGAAAAACTCACCCTACATAAATATTTAATTGAGAAAACAAGCATTATAAGTAGCCTTTTTAGGTAACTTCAAATCAATTTAATTCCATTTAACCTTCAACTCAATTTAATTATCTCAGAAGTAAGCATTGAATTTTACCAAAAGCCATGGGACATGTGACAATGACATTGTTCTGATGGCTAGTAGAATATCTGCTTGTGTGTTCTAATTTTTTCTAGAATTTTCTATAGTCATGATTTTAGAATATAAATGTGTTTTCAATGACTCAGTTTGTTCTTAGTAACACTACTGTATTTCTATTTAGCTTTGTCTATGTCTGCTATTATTTCGGCAATCTAGTTATTGTCCTATAAATCACTATTTTGTAATCTTTATAACCTTGTTTTGGAATACTATTCTTATTTTCTTTCAACTACTTTTCTTTTTGAAGAACAATCAGAACTCAACAAATGGTAGTTTCTCAAAGGTTAGTTGCAATGTGGTATTTAAAACTACATCAAGGAAGGTTTTCTACTATTTCCAAATTCTAATTTTTGCTCGAAAGTTTAAATTTTGCCAACTACTGTCAGTTGCTTTCCTTGAAACGA